GTTACAAAGAAGTGAGCTATGGAACTTGCTGCTCAGGCAAGATTAATTGGATATTCTGTATATATTGAGCATATACTGAAAGGTACAAAACACTGTCAGAAGGAAAAGTCCCACATAAACTCCAAATCCCACCAGAGGTGTTACACTCACTTCCAAGCAGAGCCACTGTTCCTCTGGTTTAATGTATCCCATCTGGGTAGTGTGAGCAGTGACGATGCTTTGCCAGCCACAGACAAATTTCAAAGCCAAGTAGTTTGACTTTTCCATGAAGTGGACATTTACCTGTGGGCAGTCACTCATGTACATGTGGGTGCTCTGGTGGTGGTGAAATTGCTGGCAATAATTGTTTAAAGGGTTGGTCTCCAAGATTTAATTTCTTACCCTTGCTGTGAAAAAGATGAGGGGCAATCATGCTGTTTCAAAGCATAACACAGCCACCTGCAAATGGAACCCTACCTGTACTGTATGGCCACAGTTCTACTCTGGAGCTTTGTACCCAGAGCTCTGACCTTAGTGCTGTGCAAACTGGATTACCAGATGCTTCCCAACCCTCCCTCCTCCAGTTGCCAGGGTGCCACAAGGGTTGGTGGGGCACTGGGGGATCCCCGCAGGCTGGCAGGGCAGCTCTTCCATCACCACAGGACATGAGAGCTGTCCAGGAGCTTCTTCCCATGGTCAGCAGCAGCAAGGGGCAGCCCCCAGAACCTCAAAACCAGAGCTGCAAAAGGATCTGACATAATCCCTTCAGAGCATACATGGCATGAGTTTTAATCTGAGACCCATATTTAATATTAAAAGGGAATCAGGGATATGTTCATTTTGCTTTCTTAGTTGTCAGCACAGGGAAGGAAGAGAGGAAGGAATTTTCAATGTGTGAAGAAGGTAGATAAGCAGAAAATTCTGGGAACTACCAAGATGTCAGGAAAGATTTTTCTCTGTTGGCTCCAAAAGCTCTTTTTTTGGTACATATTTATGTCTCCCCTACAGCCTGCAGGAAAATGGCCATTTCAGGAGGTGGTAAATTTAATTCTTCTGTTTTTCAGGGGCACAAGAGGAAAAACTGGAAGGTGAGGAAATTTGTTTTGAGAGCTGATCCTGCTTTTTTGCACTACTATGACCCCACTAAGGTATGTGAGTGGGAAGTTACCACTCCTAGAAATACTCTTGAATATCTAAACATTGTAATGAAAATACAGTTATGCTGTAAATATTTCTCTCACACAGATCTCTTTCTGGGTTCCTCTATTCATTTCCTGGGGAATTAGACCTCTCTGACCTTACCCTAGGAGGTTGACCTTGTAGGATTTTGTATCCTGCATCTTCCATCCTGTCTTTTTCACAGTGAGATTCCTTTTCCTTAGCCAAGGGGCAGAACTCTTCTCAGGATTAGTCTTTTGCTGCACTCACAGAATCTGGGACCATGGTCCTGCAGGGATTCTTCCTGGGATGTGATCTTTCTGGGCTGATGTCCCAACACTTGAGGGTCATACTGGTACCAGGATTTTTTACATTCTTATTCTAACATTGAATAGGGTCTCCTTGATGACAAAGTATTATAGGAATTTCTACTGCTCAGTTTTAAATTTGTTCATGGAATAGTAGAATTTATCTTCATAGACACAATAATCACTATGAGCAACCCAGATGCAGAGGGTACAACACAGCCTAACAGGATTGCTAAAAAAAAATAATTTATAGAAACGTTTTATGTGACTTTTAAAGAAAACAGAAAAATATACCAGTGAAAAGAACTTTTAGAGCATGTTTACTTTTTGTTGCCTGTTCCTTTGTGGTTTTTTTTCCTCTGGAAGTCACCACTGTCGTACTATAAACTCAAACTGCAGAACCTAAAGGCAAGAAACAAGAGCACCAGCCAGCTAGTGAAAACAGTCAGATTTTTCTCATACAGTCTCAACAAAAAGCAGCAAACTAAAAACTTGCAGAAATATATCTATAATACTCAGTGTATGTTGTTGATAAAACTATACATAAGTTTGAAATGTGATTGCCTACCCTTGTGCTTTTAACTGATCTCCACCATAATCAGCTACATCAGATAAATATCTAAGACTTAATTATATGTTCTAATTGACTTCTTTTGTGACATGGATGTTTCATACGTGGAATGACTGGCCTTACACCCCCAACTTCCTAAAAATAATGTATGAGCTCTGGGAAATTATTTTAATGATATTTTCCAGCTAAGCCTTGTTTCTCTTTTCTTTGCAGGAAGAAAACAAGCCGGTCGGTGGGTTCTCCCTCCGTGGCTGTCTTGTCTCAGCTCTAGAGGACAATGGAGTCCCAGCAGGTAAGCACAAGCCTCTAAACTTTTGTACATACATATTTATGACACAGCAATGCAGTCTTCTGGTATGGATTTGTGTGTATGGCTGTTTGTACGCACAAGTGTGCTGGCCTCCTCACAAGCAGGAGAAGAGGCATGTCACAAGTCCCTGTACAACTGGGCTGTCCACACCAAAGGGGACTTTTTTTAGCATTATTTCCATGTACCTTGGGTGTTTCCAAGGTTTTATGGACTTTTCTTAGTCATATGACCTCTGAAGCAGTCCTAAGACACTGATTATTATTCCAGAGTTAACAGACAAACAGGAAATACCCTCATTTTGGATGTTTAACTCAAAGTTTTGAGGTATCCTCTGATACCATCCCTTTTCTGCATGCCCTCTCTACTTATGCTATTAGCTCTTCCTTTTTGATCTGCTAGAACCCAAATATAGGGGAGACATAAACACAGCAATACAAAAACCAGTTCTGTGAGAGCATTTGCTTAGCTTAGGCATTTGTCTAAAACCTTGGCCGAGCAGATAAGTATTTCTGCTTTTGAAGCAATTTATTTTATGACAGTAAGCACAATGGATCTCGAATACTGATCATCTTTTAAAGAGAGGGTCTATAAAAGGTTTGGTCTGGGGCAGGGGGACATGATAGATTTCCCTGCTAGGAGGAACCCAAATATGGGCAGGAGCAAACCTATCTACTGTACAAACTGGTAGGGAGTTCATCCCTCCAGTGTATAACTCGAGTAATAGTCTTCATCTAAAGAGAGACTATTATATATATGTTGCGTAGTGCACATAGTTCATACAATCTATGGCAGGAATGTCTATACTATATCTTTATTTCCATAGAATCACAGAATCATCAAACGGTTTGGGTTGGAAGGACCCCAGCAATCATCTTGTTCCAACTTCCCTGCCATGGGCAAGGTCACCTTCCTCTAGACCAGGTTGCTCAAAGCCCTATCCAACCTGGCCTTGAACACTTTCAGGGATTTTGCAGAAGGAAAATCAAAGACACAAGAGCTTTAGAGGTCTTATCCATAATAAAAAGGGAAGATTTGATTACGTGCTTCACTAAATTTAAATTCTTCCCTATGAAGCTTCATGTCTGCCAGAAAACCTTTCTCTGAGCACTTTCCTGATATTTTTTTTTTTTCTTCTCTGCAGGAGTTAAGGGCAATGTGCAAGGTAATCTCTTCAAAATCATCACCAAGAATGACATTCATTATTATATCCAGGCCAGCTCCAAGGCAGAGCGAGTGCAGTGGATTGAGGCAATCAAACCATTGACATGAGTAATGTGGACTCCATGCCAAATGGCAAGTCACAGCTGTGACCAAGTTTTCTGCTCTCATTGTCTGGGAGTATTGTTTTCCCCTTGACAGTCTATTTCTGTTATTTGAATTACCATAACACTTACCAGTTCCTGGCAGACCAGCATCCTAGGTGTCTTAACGTTGTATAGATCCAGAATAATTCTCCACCAAGAATTTACCATCTAATAAAGAGACAAAAGACAATAGGTGGATACAGACAAATGGGGCTTTATGATGAAATTATGAGATACAATATTCCGAGAGGGAAGAAAAGAACTTTTTGTACGAGTTTATACCTGACAGATCCACATTGTGCTTTACCTTAAAGCAGAAATGTCTTGCTTATTTCCCCTTTATAAAGGGGAAAATAAACTAATTTTTTAAGACTGAAACATCAAAGTCATGGAAGGTGCTGGTGTCTGAGGCTGCCTTTCTTGGTATACCACACGAATCTTGTGCTAAGCCACAATCCAGCTGCCAGGATAATCAGTACTGCAAAACAAACAAGGGATCTGCCTGTCCATCCATCTGCTTTACTATTTGGCTCTCTGTTAGACTTGACAAAACCCAAAGAATCTTCCTCTCCACTATATAGGTTGCTCTTGTGCTGGTAATGATATCAGAGCAGTACAGGATCCTGAGTATCAAATCAGACCCGTGGCAGTTCCAGACAATTTCTGGTGCTGAATATATTTGAAGAAATCACTCAGTCATAAAAGCAAGACTTTTCCTTCAATTGTCACCATGAGTCCATTTATCTTGGAGAACCATTTGGGTTGAGAATTATAGTAGCAGATATGGTTATTGCTTTTTCTATCTTAGGTCATTATTTTTTCCATTATTTGTCTACTAAACTTGTCTTTAATATCATTAAATATATTAAAAAAAACCCAAACCAAACCCCCAAAACAGTGAGTTTGAATAACCTGTGCTCTTTAGAAATATGATTTTTCTCAGAGGGCAGTTTGAGTATATGAAAAATAATGGTTTTATTCACTGTAATTTTAGATTTATACATAAACTGAGACACTAGAGGGTAAAATGGAATGTAGGAAATTATTAAAACACCTGATTTACTATTTTCATAAAATTTCATGTTTTATGAGTACCTGTATCTGACAGCAAAGCTCATCAGAACCTTCAAAAGCCCTCTGAAGGCAACATGCTATATATCTTCCCTGAAGTTACAGAGGAATTTGATAGCTCTCTGTCCACAGACCCATCTCTTTGCAGATTCTATGTTCTCCAAGATGGGTACTAAAAAATAGTCTCATCACCAAAGGCAGCATATGATATATGCTTATATATTTATTAGAATAGCCATGTATGTAGAACTTTCTTCAAAAGCTACAGCAATGAAATAACAGCACAACACTTACATGTGTTCAAATATTTAATGGAGTTTATTTAAAGAAGTTTGCCAGCAAAGATGCAGTTTTCATTATATACAAAAATGGGCAATGCAGTTTCAGCTACAGATACCACTTCCTAGGCCTGGTCCAGAGAAGACTGTGAAATCCACGGCTGTTGAAACCTTTCAATTCAGGAAAAGCTACCTGGAAGAGACAGGGATGTTGGTAAGGCAATCTGTACTCGGAAGCCCAGATGGCTTTGTGTTGATTGAGCAGAGCTTCCAGAAGAAGCAATTCCCTCCCGACAATGGGCCCCCTTGCTGGGGACCAACAGATTCCCTTATTGACTTACAAGAAAGTCTCCTCCTTCTCTCTTCTCAGTCTCACCACCTACATAATGCCAGTTCTAGTCACAAGGCTAACAGCCACCCCACTGCAGAGGACTGAGCTCTGCCACCTGGCACGCGTGGGGGGGTTAAGGGATCATAAGGATCTGAGATACTGCACGGCATTATCAGTCTTGCAGTTTGGGAGGCCAAAAGTATATCTCAGATTTACCCAGACCAGCCATAGCTCTGCAATTGCTGACTGCGTATGAGAAAAAAAGCATATATCTCAAACACATCAGCAAATCAAAAAAATACAGTTCCCACTCTCCAGATTTAACCAGAGGAAAGAGATTAAACATTTCTCAGACAAGAAAAAGTACATTTTCCTCTGTCCTCGGGTGATATTGTGGTCTCCTTTTTTTCAAGCCACTTTGGTAAGCTTGATGTCCCCTGAGATCTGCAAAGCTTTAACCAAGTTCAGAGGCTGAATGCGGTGAGTGAAGTCACAGAGCTGCCGTCCATCAAGCAAGACTCGTATTTGCTGGTGTTCACATAAGAACTCCATCTGCAATGGAAAAGGACAGGGAAGGGTGTTAGAGGTCAGCAACAGGGTTGATTTCACCAGCATGGACTTATAACCAAATGGTATGGGGATAATGAAGCACAAAGTCTACCAGTTCTTCTGAAATCCCCTAATAAATAACAGCCGCTACTGAGATGATACTGCAAAGCTCCTTGCAGGGAGTACTCTCACTTAGATTGGAGAAAGGAATGCATCTCTCCCTTCAGGGTTTGAACTGTTGCTATCTGTGCCATACTAGACTAGTTAACTTGCCAATGCCAGTAGTTAGCTATTTGTGGTCACATACAAAGCCTTCAGCCTTTCTCCCCTCCTTTTCTCTACCCTGTTCATAGTACCCTAAAAATTACCTTGAACGTATCGCCTGCTGTAAATGGGAAGTACGGAATAGCCTTCTCTTCTCTTCCCCATTTCCCACCAATTCGTGCATTTCGGGTGATGGATTTCTCACTGAAATTAACTGTAAATAACATCCCAACATCTTTGTTTGAATCCACTGGATCACAGAGCAGAGTCACTGAAAAGCTGAAAAAGACCCAGTTAAATTACTGGAGCTTTCAGAAATGTTAAAGGACATGGTGAACATGACAGATGCTTTAAAGACTATAGACAGGTGTTGATTTCATGTCAGATTGCTTTTTAAATGGTGTTGATTCCAACTCCCAGCAGACAACCAAGATGCAGGTTGAGAATTGTACCTCTTCCTGGAGGAGAAATGCCACTTGTGTGCTTTCCTCTAGTTCACATTAGATAAGGGGAAGGAGTAGAAAATCCTGTCAGGGCAGCCAGCAAAGTCAAAGAGTAAACTCCTCCTTGACCTTTGATCTAAGTGCAGGAAACCTAAGTAAAGCCATAAATTATTAATCTGTTTGACTTTCTTCCTCCAAAGAGCACAGACTTCTAAGAAAGCTGCTGAGTTTAGAAAAGAGGTAGGAGCATGTATGACATGGTGAATCCCCCACCTTCACTTACCTCTTTGGGTTGGAGTGTACCATCCCTATGACTGTGAGTTTCATGGCTGGTCTCAGGCCACCTTTAATTTCACCAACATACTGCTCCACCTGCAGGGAACAATGAAAAAAAATGGCTGCAGTCGGTGATGTGGGTAAAGAAGTTTTAACGGCTGCTTGGGTCACCTGATATAAATTGGTTTTATTTTTTACACGCACAAGATAACTCAAAAATATTTCTGTCCTGAAGTACTTCTTGCACTCTCAGTATAAATTCTGTATTCTGGCATCTGAGGGGAGAGAGAGGGCTGCCATAACTGAGTGCCTGCTGACAAGGCACTGGCTGCCTGACAAGACTGCTGGCCCCCCTGGGCAGTGTTTGACCAAAATTGCTGTCAGCAAGGGGAGTGAGTGGCCACTGTCATTGCTCTACCTGAGTGACCTGTGTGACGAAGACCCCTGGAGGCACGGCTCTGGGAACACCCACTACTGCCTTCAGGTGACTGATGTCACTCCCCAAGACCAGAGAAGGTACTGCAGGACTCAGATGGCTGGCACACCTGGGATGAGATGGCAATGGCTGCTGTGGTCTGATGACACAATAAAACTGGTTGCAGCACTCCATGCAGCAGAGGAAAAGCATTGTGGCAGCACGATGCAGAGCACAGACTGCATGAACTTACTGTGCCAGCTCAAATTCGTTACCAGATTTCGGTGGGCTAACTTGGCACCAGGAGGCTTTACAGCACGCCGGGCAGCCTCTGTGCCCCATCATAAAAGTGCAAAGCCAGCAGAGATGCTGCCCTGCCACTGCATTTTCACCACGCCCTCAGAGGTGACTTTGAAAAGTCACACTCTTTCAAAGCTAGAAAATGGCTTCTTGGTGGACTTACTTTTGTCCTTTTCACAGACACCTGTAGTTGCAAACTCCATCCAAAGATCCAACCTACATTCACTGTTTTTAAGTAATTCTCTAACAGCTTTGATGGTTAGTGGAGGAAATAATACAGACCACAGCTGACATGGAAATATTAAAGAGAGAGCTTGGAAACAAGTGATAGGGATGTTTTGAGACTTCGGTTTCAGAAATGGCTTTAAAATGTAAATGTCAGAATACCACACTGCAGCATGTAATCACTCCCTATGCAGATTCACTTAGAAAGAAGCTGCTATAAAACACTAAACGTTATTAGCAACTTGCGTAACACTGATAATATTCCAAGGCAATGCACAACAGACCCGGTTTTAGATAAAAAGAGCTTTATCATTCCAGTGTTCCAAGGTAAAAATTCAGACTTTTGCTAGAAGACCTGCACAACATGCACACATAAATTCAAGACAAAAGAGGTGTTGCCTATACCTTGTTGCCTAATTTCAATATACTAGTTCTATCTTCTGCTAGGATGACCTTATGCAATTCATTTTCCTGCTTTGATATTTACATCCAGATACCTTTACAGCTTCACAGATATATTAATAAACCTCTAATTCCTAACAAGGTCAATATTGGAAGAAATTAATTAAAAAATACCTTCAAAAATTACAGTAGTACTGCTGATTGTTAATAATGTACATTTACCCTTGCAGAAGTGGGCAGATGACTCCTGCAGGTATGTTTTGAACTTTGTAAAAAAAGCATCAAGCACCTCACGTATCTAACACAAGGAAGCAGCTTCTCAAGGAAGGAGCCTGACTGTAGGGAGATACTTTAAACTGGAAAAATCAATTAGAGTGCATAATAAGCATTAAAGATCCCAGGATAAATGAAGTCCGTCCTCATACAGGTTTCATGTCCCACTAAAGCTCCTTTCTTGCCTAGAGAAGAGACAAGATACAAAATAATACCCCAGATTGAAAGTACAGGTTGAGAAATCACTTGCGCAGAGCTGTGCCATAGTAAGCACCATCATTAAAAGCACAGGGTATCAGAACTCCATAGACTGAATGCCGACATGGTCTCATAAGTTACAGCTCGCCTGGCATGGCTGTAGAAAGTTCAGAGGCATGACTGCCCACATGCCATTTATCTGCTGACGTGGAGTTGACAGGACAGGTTAAAAATACTCAGGAAGCTGTAGGAGGTAGTGGTACAAACTCCTGCAGCATCTTGCGTGGTTTATTGGTGGGTTCTAGCATGTGCACATGGACATAGTTCCCTTCCCGTATTTTCCATTCAGGAGCCCTGGGGACTCGCTCGGTCACTTACTTTGGCACACCTGTCCTCTGTCATCACCGCTCTGCCGCTTACACTTGCCTCGCCGCAGCACTCCACGGAGGAGTTTTTGTTTTGTGCGTCAGGACAAAAGCAAACAAAAAACCCGGAATAAAGGGAGGATGCTGAGGGGGGGGGTTATCTCTGCTAAACACCGGCTGTACACCACCCAGCCCAGCAGCTGAGTCACGGCCCTCTGCGCCTCGCCCCGCTGGGGGAGCTCACAAATAACAGAGTGAGAGGGCAGGGGGACCCCACCGCCCCGCACAGGAACGCCCGGCCAGACATGGCTGGAGCTCTGTCTGCCTGCACCTGTACCTACACGTTTTTACTCAGCTATTTAAAATTCTGTGTGTGTGCATAACGTACTGTATTTGTATATGTAATACATATAAACCCGAAGTAATTTATTTATTGATACCAGTTCTGCCTTCTCAATGAGCTTCTCTCAGTGGGTTAAAAATAATTTAAAAAATATAATAAAATATATTATTTTATATTTTATTTATTTATATAAAATAATATAAATAATAATAATATATATACACAACTTGCAGCGCTATATATACACACCTATATATAGGTGTATACACCTATACAGGTCTAGGTGTGTACACCGTACATAAACACCTATATGTGGCCGTATATCCTGTAGGTGTACACACCTATATATATGTATAGGTATATGTATGCATAGGTGAATATATGTGGGTATAGATACGTTTGTGTGTGTGTATATATATATATATATATATATGTACCACAGTGAGGTATACATACAGTATACCTACAGGGTTATACAGCTACACAAGGGGTAAATGTACGCGCAGAGATGTGTCTATACCCCTGTACGCGTCCCGCTCTCTCTCTGCCGGTGTGTACAGTTGCACACCCGCACATGCAGGTGTACCACACCCACGTCCCCACCACAGAACACTCGCACAGACCCCGCCCTGACCCCCCCGCCCCCTCACAAACGCCGCGTCCCAGCCAAGGGGCGGAGCTGGCTCTTGATGCCAGTGGGCCGGAAAGGGGCGTGGTCAGTGGGGGGGCGGGGCTGGCGCTGCCCGGGCCTCCCCGGCGGCGTCAGGCACCCCAAACAAAGATGGCGGTTTATTTACATCCCTGCCGGTTCGGCCAATGGGCGGGTGCCTTGCCCGCGTGCCCGCCCGGCGGCGCGCTCAGCTGAGCCGGCGGTCAAGATGGCGGCGGCCAAGATGGTGGGGCTGCGGGGCGGCGGTGCCGGGGCCGTGCAGTAGAGCCCCGACAGGGAACGCGGCATCGCCTGTGTGACCCCTCGTCCTGGGAAGATGCATTCTTTTGGGAGCGAAGAAGCGGTCTCGCTGGAGCGTCTTTTTGGGTTCTTCTGCGAGTGCGTGCGGCATGGGCACTGGGAGCTCGCGCAGGCCTGCGTGCCCCAGCTGAGCCAGGGGCACGGCGACGACCCCGGGAAGGTGGAGGCAATTCTTCAGGCTCTGGTAGCGTGCCCCGTGGGGGTGAGGTAAGTAAGGTACTGCTCTGGCTCAGCAGACTTGAGTGTGAAGTGAGGAGGAGCAGTTAGACTGTGGGGAGCCAGGTAGGATCTGGGACGTAGCACCTGTTTCAGTGCTTCGGTGCCTTCGGTGTTCCTAGTGGTCCTATTATCTGAACGTGGACACATAATCACTGACCAAGAACGTAGCAGGTTTCCCGGGTCACTGGGATAACGAGCTGTGCCCATTTACGTGGTTGGCATGGTGTTTGAGACAAGCTTAAAACTACTTGTAAGCATCTCAGAACTGATTTTGTTAGATTTTGCTGAAGGAGAAAGAGCAACTCTTGAAATTACATTCCTTTGACACTGAGCCTCGGTTAATTTAGAAATGAAACCACCAAGATGAGCCCTGTAGTTACTTAAAATGTTCTCTTGTTTCCAGCTCTTGAAAAACCTCACAGTTTTAAAAAATGTAAACTCTAAAAAACTCAAATTATGCTGTTGATTTCTTATTTTTCCCACACCAGAATTTGAAATAGCATTTGTTTTACTCAATCCTAGTTACGTTTTATCACTGCTTTTCAAGTAGGTGCATATGAGGGGTGACTTTCTGGCACTTCAGGGAACGTTGGTATTCTTCCTGTATAATCAGATGATCATACTTCTTCACATTTGTGTAACGTTTTGGTAAAGGTTCTAAGAAACAATTTACACTAACAGCAGTTAGAGTCTGGAGGAAGGTGTGCACATGGTTAGATGAATATTGGTAATAGCCATGTGAAACATGAGCATTTTCAGTCTTTTTATCTTTGATAGATAGGCTATCACATCTAAAGGTTTTAGTTAGTAGTGCTGAGATTTTTAAAGGACAGTAAAATATGTTGTGCTTTTTGTTTTTTCTAGTCCTTTTGGCAGTACTGAATATGTTCCCTAACTGTATAGACTTTGGGATGTATATATAAGTACTGGAGCACGTGAAAAACTGAGGAAAATTAGAGGGATTCTTTGTTTAGTTAGTACATTGCTTCACTTTTAGTTTGGGCATAGATCTGCACTTGGGCTGCTGTGACCTAAAAGTCTTTCAGTTTCTAGGGTAGAAATTGACAGAACAGGAAATAGCAGTGCTTGGCAAGTGGTCACATTTCAGAGAAATCTGCTGAAGTGCTCGAAGAGGACTATACAGACTGAACTTTACACCAGAAATAAATGCAATTGTTTTGAAGAACTATGCATGTGGTATTTGGCCAATCTAAAAGCAGTTATCTGCACAGCAGAAATCAGAGTTAATGTCCAAGCAGCACCAATATTCAGGTTCCTCTTCATTGTTTTCTGTCTGACTTGTCTTCAGCTTTCTAGTCATCTTTGTTTTTATCTTACACAAAGAAATACAGAAATCAAAATTATCTCCGACAGTGTTTTCCCGGATCTTGGACCTTGTATAATCTGGTGTATGTGCTTCTTGCTTTTGTAGATGGGGAGAGAATTCTAGCCCATGGAGAACAGCATGGCTTTGGCTTCTTGTGCTGGAGAAATGGCTTGCCAGGAATCAGGTACACAAACATCTAGCTGACTTGCAAATGCAGTTTACAGTTCTGACTTCTAGCTGACTTCCAAGTGCACAGTGTCTGCCCAGTTGCTTATATAAATGGTAGCCTTTCCCATGTTTCATGGAACTAAGTTCTCAGCATATCTGGAGAAGTGCATTGCTTTTATGTTTAACAAATTTGTCAAGAAACAACTGTTAGTCTTCACGCTGGAGAGAAAAATTGGATTTTTTTTTCAAGATATCGGAACTTTGCTTTTTCACTTTAAACATTCATACAAATGAGAAGCATGAGTGTATCAACTTCTGCATTTGTGTAACACCTTTCTTACATTAACAATAAAATAGCTCAGGCATCAGACAATTCTTTATAAGAGGGATTTGTGTACTTTTTTAAAAATTAATTTGTTCTAGTCACTACTTAGACTTGCATTTTTTCTTTATGTTCTGAGGAATTGATGGGTTTGTAATTCTTGACAAAGTGACGCTTATCCCTGTTTCCAAACTTTCAGATAAATAAAATCAGTTGGTGTAAAAGCAGAACCTAATTGCAGAATAGCCTTTAATTGAGAACGAGGTATCTTCAGAGCTGTATTTCAGTCTGCATCACAATGTTACTGAAATATCTAAGATAGGTTTATATGGTAATGTAGATAAATAAAAGTTTTATTGACTAATATCTTTCCCATACTCATATATGGTTTCAGAAAACTGTTCCAGTTGTCCTTCAGAGAGAAACTGAATTTTTAGTGTTCTTAGAAGAACTACAGAAGGATGTCTCTGAGGAAGTCCTAAAGGTGAGCTACTTCTGTGCCCTATTTCTTCTTATTAGCTATGTCCAGTTATGCAGAATATGGGATCTGAGTTAATGCTCCTTGATAACTTGACTGCCTGAGAGCTTAATGTGTTAATAACCTTCCAGGCAATTGAAAGGGAGTGTAATTCAGATCCCTTTCTCAAGTTAATCCAGTGTGCCTGCAAGTGATTTCTCTGGCCAGAGTGGAGGTTGCAGGCAGGCAGCACAGGTTTTTCTACATGGTATTTGTGACACAAATCAGTCCTGACTGCATCTACTTGCCACAGTTTCATATCTGTAGACACCTGTAATAATCATAAACCTAAAACCCACTGTGAGCTAAAATAAAGTATAGTCAGCAAGCACATTTTTAAAGTATGTCTATTTTCTTTTTTTTTTTTTTTTCCTGAGATCTTAATTTTTGTCTCCTATGCACCCCTTTTCCCCATTCCTGGAAGTTTTTGAATGCTCTACTGTTATCACCAGTGTTGTTTGGTAATTGGTATGATGTGTGCTCTGAGGTCCAGGACCCAGTTTTCCATTCTTAGTTAATACATGCGGACTGATTTATTTGACAAATGCGTGGAAATATGCAAAGATGGATTAATATCAAAATCAAGTATAGAGCAGTAAATCAGGAAAGTTACTGATTGTAGAACTGCCCTAATTTGGTGTTAGTTACAACAGATTTAGACCTGACATGGTGTGTGAAATGTCGTAAGATGTTGCTTCTAGTCATATAGATTCTCTTTAAAGATGGTTTTTTTTTTGGTTTGCCATTTTTTAAGGGGAAAATGGAAACTGAGTATATTCAGAGGCTCTTGGCAACTTTGGATATGAATAAGGAAAAGATATTCAATATTTTCCTAAAGATACAGAATGAAAAGGTACAGGATGAAAACAAGCAAAGTAAACTTGAATGTTGATTAAAGTAAATCTGCTGAAAGTCTGTTAATGAGTAATGAAGTCCGTGCATGTTACCATCTAACCTCCAAGGTCATGAATGTCCGCACTGTCCACCGGTGTTGCACAGAAACATGAGATTCAGCAACCTCTGTCACGATTACTGTCAGAGGTGTGTTGGTAGGTAGAGCTACGTTTTGATCCAGCAAATGAAAAAAAAAAAAAAAGCGTGTTGTGGACTTGTCTTCTGTTCTCATTTTTTATGCACACCAACCACCTCTTCCCAGCAATGCCACAAGTGCTGCTTAAGTGCTACTCAACTGGCTTGTCCCTCACCTTCCCACCCCTTACTGGGAGAGCTAATTGGGATTTTTTTTTGTTTCTGCTTGTTTTTCCCTTCCTAGTTCTGGATT